CCTCTTTCTCTTTTCTTCATCAGACTTACAAGACTCCATCCAGGGAATATATATACATGTGTGTGTATGTGTGTGTGTGTGTATTGTATGTATGTATATATGTGTGTAGATATGTATAATAGATATGTATTTTATATATATATATATTTTTTTTTTTTTTTAACCAGCCTTCGGGTGACTACATCACCAGAGAAGTTTAATACAAATTAAAATCCTGCTTTTAGATGCCATCTTCTTTAGCAACTGTTCAGTTACCAAATCTGCTTCTTCTGAAGCCCACAGCTTCATTCCGCAACAACTTTAAGAAAACAAAAAATTTTAAACAGAATTTAAAGTTAAAACAAAACACTGTGCGCCCTAAAGTCTTCAGTCTCTTGCGCGAGATTCCATAATGAAGCGACACTTGCTGGGTTCCTTCTGGTTAATCACCGGAAGAGGGCAGTTGTCATCAAGTTTGAAAAGTCAGGACAACAAATAGCCAGCCACCCTGGTCCCCCTGGTGTCAATCACCAACCTATGCTATTAATCTCTCCCTCCCAAGGTTACTGGCTGGCCACACTCTGGATGGTGCCTGTGGATGTTACATCTTTATTCTTGGAACACATAAAGCTGGTCCCTTGCCTGTCTTAAAACTATTACTCAGTTCCAAATGTTCAAGAGTCCTTCTTTCCTCCTCTGTGTCACTTTTTCTACCCTTCATCTTCCTACCACTTCAACTCCATCCTCCCCCTGCTCCTCACTTTTCTTTCTTCCTGAACTACTTGCTCTATACCTTCAAAGAAGATCTCATTTTTTCTGATAACCCAGAAAGGTGTTCTTCCAGCTCTTTCATATCAGCCTTAGAGAAAAACTAAATCAAGCAAGATGCTTGTGTCAGGTGTGCTCACACACACACACAAAGAATAAAACACTACCTGCTTCTAAGTACCTCACTCTATCAGAAAGACTGCAGATACATATATAAGTATATATGGAATATATATAGGAGACAGCATGGTGTAGAGATCTGTCCTTAAAGTCAGGAAGACTTGCATTCAAGTCCCACCTCTGACTCTGGGAAAGTCATTTAACTTCTCAGTGCTCTAGGACTATAAGGTGTAGTAAAGTTGCTGCCCTGCATTGGGGAAGGGATTTGCCTATACCAATGAAATAACACAGTCAGTCCCTATCCCCCTATACAGAATACATATTGAAAACAATCGGGAAAGTTTCCCATAGAAAGTGGTTGTTGAGCTGAGTCTTAAAGGAAACAAGAGTTTTTAAAAGGCAGAGGTGAGGAGAAAGAACAGCCAGTGCAAAGGCACCAAGTGAGAAATGGAGTGTTATGTGTGAAGAACTGCACCAAAGCCAGCGTAGCTGGACCATGGTGTGTGGAAACAGAAGTAATATATAATAAGATAACTAGAGCATTTATTCAACGCTTATTGTGGGTCGAGCACTGTGCTAAGTGCTATTGTCGTTTAGTCATTCAGTCCTGTCCAACTCTTTGTGACCATAACACACCAACCCCTTCTGTCCTCCACTATATCCCAAAGTCTAAGTTCATGTTTGTTGCTTCCATATTATCTGTCCATATCATCCTCTGCTGTCCCCTTCTCCTTTGGCCTTCAATCTTTTCCCAACATTAAGGTCTTTTCCAGGTCCTGTCTTCTCATTATGTGGCCAAAATATTTACATTTCAGCTTCAGTACTTGACCTTCCAATGAATAGTATGAATTAATTTCTTTAAGTATTGACTGATAAGGACTTGCTGCCCAGAGTACTAACAAAAGTCTTCTCCAATACCACAATTAGAAAGTGTTGATTCTGTGGTGCTCAGCTTTCCTTATAGTCTAACTCTCACAGCCATACGTTGCGACAGGAAAAACCATTTCTTTGACTATACAGACCTTTGTCAGCAAGGTGATGTCTGTTTTTTTAGTATGCTGTCCAGATTTACAGGTGTTCAAGGAGGACCAGCACCTCTGGTGTGAGGGCTTGCCAAGCCCTTTTCAGGGCTGCTCATCCACCTTTGGTGTTTAACTGGCACTCAACTCTCACCTGTGGCTCCAAGAAGCTGTAGCATGCACAGTGGCCACACCCTAGTAAACCATCTTGGCAGACAGGCTAAATCAGGTTGACAGTAACCAATAGGCCTCAAACCCATCAGTGAGTTGGGGGGGGGGACATCTACCCCAAGCATGTGAAGACTTCCCAGTAGAATGGGCAGGTGAGAACAACTTGAAAGTGGTTGAAGCAGGTGCTGTGGAGCACTTAGAGCTTGGTCAGCTATTGAAGATGCCAAGGGTATCCTGGGCCATTGCCAGTCATCCTGTCTTAACGTTGGACTTCAGTGACTCTGGAAGAGAGTGAGGTTGACAACCCTGTGCAACTCTGCCTCACTTAAATTCAATTTACATGAGTCAAGACATCACCCAATGATGTCATTGTTCCTCTTCGAAAACAAAGTACAAAACCACAACAGTTTTCCTTCCAACGAGCAAGCATCTTTTAATTTCATGACTGCATTCACTGTTTGCAGTGATCTTTGAGCCAAAGAATATAAAATCTGATACTGCTTCCATTTCTTCTCTCTTTATTTGCCAGGAAGTGATAAGACTAGTTACTATGATCTTAGGTTTGTTGGTTTTTTTTTTTTTTGGAAGGGGTTGGCTTGATGTTAAGCTTCAAGGCATCTTTTTACTCTCTCTTCTTTCACCTTCATTAAGAGGCTTCTTAATTATTTTTCACTTTCTGCCATCAGAGTAATATTGTCTGAATATCTAAGATTGCTGATATTTCTCCTGGCAATCTTAATTCCAGCTTTTGATTCATCCAATTTGGCTTTTTTCATGAGGTACTCTACATATAAGTTAAAATAAATAAGGTGACAATATACAGCCAAATACAAGAAAGACAGTCCCTTTGAGGAGCTTACTCTTTAACAGAAGGAAGACAACACATAAAGGGGAATTGGAATTGGGGGGTGGGGAGAGAGGATGTTTAAAGTGACTTGGAGGCCTAGTTTGTGAAAAAATAAGGCAAAAGAAAATAAGGTAAATGGAGCCAGATTGTGCAAGGCTTTAAAATCCAAAGAATTTATGTTTTATCTTAGAGGCAACAGGGAGTCCTTAGAGTTTATTGGGTAAGAAAGTGATATGGTCAGACCTGCATTTTAGGAAAATCACTTTGGCAGCCTGGAACATGGATTGAAGTGGGGAAACACTTGAGGAAGGGAAACCAATTAAGAGGTTACTGCAGTAATGAAGAGTGATGGAGGCATGGCCAAAAGTGTGAGCAGAGAACAGATCAGTTGTGAGAGAGGTTGTCAAGGCAGAATGACAAGGTTTGGTAACTGAATGGATTTGTCTGGTGAAGAGTCAAGGATGAGGTTTTGAACCTGGGAAACTGGAAGAATGGTGGTTTCTGTGACAGAAATGGGGAATTTGAGAAGAGAGGTTGGTTTGCAGGAAAACAATGAATTCTATTTTGGATATGTTGAGTTTGAGATATCTATGGGACATCCATGGAGCTCAGGAGAAAAGACTGGAAAGAGCTGAAACATCTGCTTAGAAATAGTTATCAAATTAAAACCAGAAGTGGGCATGCCTATAATCCCTGCTACTGGAAGAGGACTGAGGCTGATGGATCTCTTGAGATCTGAGCTAGAATGGGCTAAAAGTCACTTGGTGCCCATACTAAGTCTAACACCAATATGGTGAGCCCCTGGAGCAGGCTACCAGGTTGCCTAAGGGCAAACTGGTCCACATTAGAAATGAAGCACGTCAAAGCTTCTGGCCCATGAGCTGGGTACTTCCAGCCTGCAAAAGATAGAGAGACCCAGTCTTAAAAGAGAAAGAGAGAGAGGGAAGGAGAGGGAGAGACAGAGAGAATGAATTAAATCTATGAGAGCTAATAAGGTCATCAAGCAAGAGTGTTGTATGTTAGGAAAGACAAAAATAGTCTTGTCTCTTAAATCACTGTAAAATTCAACTTGCCCTCCATACTTGCTGAAAACAAGATCCTCTCAATCTTTTGTCATTTTGGTAGCTATAGTCCCTAAATTAACTGCTATTGGCCAATCCTCTTCATTGTACTGAGGGGCAGCTGAATCAAGATTTAACTAATTAACTAATTATTTTATTTATCTTGGGTTTCCAGCCTTTTTGCGATGGAATGCTAAGCTCGATGATGAGCTGTTTGATTAGCCATTTCCAGATTCCTGCCAAGTCCTAATGCAAACAGTTGCTGTCAGCTGTATGGGTATGAGGGCCTCAAGCAGGAAAACAATTACTCACCAAGTTTTTAATCTAATCTCCTCTAATTACTTGAATACTTTAGATACCACCTTGAGCTTCTCTGGCCACATTGCTCCATACAAGACTCATTGATTCAGATCAGAGATGCCTCCTAAGCCCTTAGTGCTTTTCTCCTGAATAGTGATTCACTTTTCCTCCCTATTCTAAACCCCACCCCACCTCACCCCCTCTTAGTAATGTGAGACTGAACATTCCAAATACCCAGTAGCAGTAGCCTTATTCCCTAGAAGTTCCAATTAACTGTCAATAAGTAAATTTTCCTAGCTTCCTACAAATATCTAACCTACAATAGGAATTACTCAGAAGACTCAATAATGTCAGAAAAGACCTTAAAGGCCATCTAATCCAACCTCTTCTATTCCCCACTCTACTACCAGCAGTATTTTATCAGTAAGGGTTTAGTTATTTCTCCAAGCCCAAACAACTGGTGAGTTAACAGCACCAGGACTTGAACTCAGGTTTCCTGACTCCTCACACAGTGTTCCTTCTACTATGTCATGCTGTCTTCTCAAACGTCTCCTCCAGCAGAATGATGTTGAGAAACTGTTTCTTAAAGGTAAAATAGAAGATGAGGTGGTGGGTATTTGGGTAATTTGTATATTAACTTAAGATACAAAGTCTTTGGGGTGCTTTGGCTGTTAAGGTCTAGAGGCTAAGGGGCAGTCTGGCCTTGGATCTTAATGATGTACTCTACCATTCTAGCCCATCTATTCGATTGTGACTGCTGCCAAATGGCTGATGAGTGAGCTCTTCATGTGAGTGTGGGTGTCTGAAAGAATTACTTGGGGGCAAGGGAGGGAGATTCTCTGCTGGGTTGGGATCACAATGGGGACCCTTTCCTGGGAATTCTGGCTGTCTTCAGGGCACTCATGGATACACATAGTGGGGAGGAGAGAGCCCAATTATGTGGGAATCAGAGATAATAGATGACATTCCCTCGATACACTCAGCACCCAAAATAGGCTGGTCTGCTGAAGGCCCAAGGAGGGAACCAAGCAACAGTGTGCATCACTGTAACCTAGATCTCAGCCAGCATGGGGCAGACCTATGAGTAACCAAGGAAAAGAGGAGACAAGGACTGGCTGCCAGCCATTGGGTGTTTGGTACAGCGCTGTCTACCTCCTTGTCCCTGGAGCAGGTGAGACTCCTTACCCTCTACCTCCTGCCAACCTTCGGAAAGAAAGTGTACCATTTAAGGAGGGTGAGAAAAAGAAGCTAAAACTTCCTACCCAGTACCATCCCCATCCTCATCATACACATACACACTACTCCTGTACCTTTTTTTACAGGTTCTTTTTAGAATGGGGTACATGGGGCTGCTGGCAGCAGGACAGCAGGGCAGAGGGTGAGTACACAGCATTTACAGGGGTTGGGGAAGACCGAGCCAGGACCCGATAATATCAGGCATTTTGCAGGAACAGCACCAAGTGCCTGAATTTCAATTAAAGTCGACAAACATTTATTAATTACTTACTTAGAAGGGTGCAGTGCTGGGTACTGGGGATACAGTGATTAGAAAAAAAAACAACTCAACAAATATGTATTAAGCATCTTCTCTAGAAAGAATATTGTGTTAAGCATATGAAAGATTCAAAGTTTTGATAACATACTTGCCCTTACAGAGCTTACAATAAGGGGACATGACTCATGCATAAACTTATGATAAAAAAAAAAACACATATGTTAAGTCTATTTTAAAAGGTACAAACAATGCCATGTGAGGTCAAAAGGTATCAGAAAAGGCTTCCTAGAGGAGATAACATTTGAGTTGGGTTAAGGCTATAAAAATGGGGTGATGCCAAATTTAAAAGGACTTTGAATGCCAGGCTAAGGAGTATAACTTTTACTCAAGAGGCTAAAAGGAACCACTGATGATTTTTCAGCAGAGTACTGATATGACCAAATCTATACGTAAAGATTAACCTGGCAGTGGTCTTAAGAATTTAATAAAAGGAGGAAGAGAGTGAAGGCCTAAAGAACTCTTAGGAAGGTATGGCAATGGCCTAAATAGATAGTAATGAGGACCTGTACACTAATTCCTTATAATCAAAGAAAGATAATAAGCTTGGTTTTAGACACGTTGCCAATGGTACACCCAGACAGACAGGGATGCCCTATAGGCAGATGGAGATGCAAGTCTGAAATGCAAAAGAAAGGATTGGAAATATACTACACATTTGGGTATTATCTGTATAAAGGTGATCACTAAAGCCGTGGGAGTAATGAGATTGCCAAGGAAGTGAGTGTAGAGAAAGATAAGGGAAAAGAACACAGAACAGAACCTTGGAGAACATCCACTTGCTGAAGCAGACAGTGAAGGAGACAGAGAAAAAACAACTACAGAGGAAAGAAGAGAGCCAAGAGAACAAAGCAACTCAAAAGTCATGAGAGATAAAAGTATCCAAGTCAATAAATGCTACAAAGAGGTCAAAACAGGGCGAGAACTGAAAAACAAACAAACAAACAAACAAAACAGAAAACACAAGTGACCTTTGAGAAAGTAGTTTTTCTAGTAGAGGTGAAAGTACAGTGGCAAGGAATTAAGTGACATGAATAATTGAGTGTTGGGGAAATGGAGACACTTGTTGAAAAGAAAAGCTGAAAAACTCTTCCCTTCTTGACAGAAATAGGGAATGTGTATGTATACACAATGTATATATATTTATGTGTCTACATATACACACATGTACACATACATAAATATATATGCATATGTACATAGATATATGTGTGTGTATATATATGGAGCATCAAATTCTTTTGATGTGTTGGTGTTTGCTGAACTGGTACGTTATGTTACATTATATCATGTCATATCATTTATGTATACATATATATATATATATTGCACAGCTTAGATGCAAACCATACCTGACCTAGGATGATGTCACTGGCAGTGGAAAGAAAGGTACAGATTCTAGATTTTCTTCAGAGGCAAAATTAACAGGATTTAGTAACTAAATGAACCAGAGGGATCCAGAGGAGTGGGAATCAATGCTTTGAGCACAGGTAACTGGAAGGATGGTAGTCTAAAAGAAATAAGGAAGTTAGGGGGATCATGAATTCTGGAGAGGCCTTACAAAGTCATAGGACTGAAATGTTCATTTTGGGACATATTGAGCTTAAAGTATTAGAGTTCAGGGGAGAATTCAGCGTTGGAAGCATGGAAGTAGAAACTCTGCTTTGATGTTAATGGAATGTCTGTTGGAAACTTACTGAGATGGAATTCCAGGGGAAAGGGACAACTAAACCATGCTTTATATCATATCCCTCATAGACTTCTCTCATACCTTCCTCCCAACCCCTAAACCTATCACCTCCCTATGTGACATCATCTCTCTGCTACTTCGGGACGTCACCGTGTGATATCACTGCATCCTATCATCGCTACATCCTGTGACACCCTCATTCTGCCTGACTTTGCCCCTTTCCTGTTCCATCATCTTGTGAAATGTGCCTCCATGATTCCATCTCCACCTTGTGCTGGTCACATGACCTGAGCAGCCAAAGCCATCTTCCATCACTGTAAGTAAAATCAATTAATGAGATGCTAAAGGCATGTCTCAGACTCCAAGCTTGGGGAAGAAAAGACTGAATTCTTTTTAGGATATTCCTCATTTAGGGGGCCCTAGCCATCTACCATTTCAGGACATCATGTCAGGAGATGAGAATGCCCTTAATTCAAACTGCAGAGAAGCATTCAGTATGTAACAAACATTTATTAAACACCCACTATGTGCCTGGTACCGTGCTAAGCACTAGGGATACAAAAAGAGACAAAAAAACAGTTCCTGACCTCAAAGAGCTCACAGTCTAATGTGGGAGACAACAAACATGTACAAACAAGGCATATACAAGATAGAGAGGAAAAGGTTAAAAGACGGAAGGTACTAGAATTAAGAGAAGTTCTAAGTGGTATCACACAAATATACCACAACCTACACAGAATGGAAGGTTCCTTAAGTCTCCTGTAACAGTTCTCTGGGGTGTTGCAAGTATTATTATCTCCATTTTTAAACTAATGGGGAAACTAAGTCTCAGAAAAGTGATTTGCACATGGATACACAGCTAGTAAGAGGCAGAGCTCAGAGTTAAAAATTGACTTGTTCTGACTCCAAATCCCCTGTTCTTTCCACTATACCATAGTAAAAGACCAGATCACTCCATTTCTCCCCTGCAATCCCCACCATTGCCACCACTATCAAGACAGGCAGAAAGAGAACTGGACTGGAAGGAAGACCTAGCTTCCAATCCTTCCTCTGACATGTATTAACTATAATCATAGACGAGTCACCATTTCTCTGAGTCTCAACTTCTTCCTCTGTAAATAAAGATAATAATACATAGTACCTACCTCACAGGGTTTTTGTTATGATCAAACACAATCATGGTTGTGAGGTGCTTTGCCGCAAACTTTAAAGCACTGTGTAAATGTCAGTTGTCGTCATCGTCATCATCATCATCATCATCACCACTACCACACCAAAAATTACAGTGGGCTTGTTCAGACTTTGATTTCCTCACCAATAGCTCCCTTTCCAGAAGGTCATCCTTGCCCTACCTATCTTCTTCTATCAGCAAGGAGTTAAGTATATACTGTGTGAAGAGTATATTAGTAATAATACCTTACATGTCTATTAGACTTTCTAGTCCTCAAAGCATTTCCACAACCATCATCTGATTTGATCCTCATGATATTATATAAGAGTGAATGAAGCAGAGCAGATACAATCCCTTATCCCCATTTTATAGAAGAAACTGAAGCCCAATGAGTTTTCAATTTGCCTACAGAGCAAGTAAGTGGAAGTTATCACAGAATCATGGGTTTAGAACTGAAAGGAATGTAAGAAGCTTACCTACTCTAACTTCTTTCTTTAGTACTTGAGGAAACAGTCCCAGAGAAGTCAGGTGACTCATCCAAAGTCATATAGATAGCAAGTGTCAGAGTCAGAGTTTGAACATAGATCCTCTTTCTACTGTACAGATTTTCTGACTCTTAAGTCCAGCACTTTTCCCACTACGCTGTTACTAGGCACTGTTGGGGAATACAAAAAACAAACCAAAAACAGGCCTAAGAAACAAATATGACCTGATGCTTCCCCGGTCCACATCTGAAGCAATTGTTTATGGATTAATAAGTGCTAGGGACAGGAGAGAATCTAGGGTTATCTCTAGCTATTATTATTTTGTCTGGACCTCTGATTTTATCTGTATAGGGAACGATAATACCTCCACACTTGATGATCAGGCAGCTAGTTAGCTGAAGGATAGACCTTACTGTTGACAGATACATTTTTGACTTTTAATTAGCACCTTACCTTTGACTTTTAATTAGTGCCTCAATATCTTCTCTTGGGTTCATAGTTTTATTGAAAAGAGCTTGGACTGGGCATGAGGAGACCTAGCTCTGTGAGTTAATCATTGTATGACCTTGAAGAAGTCATTTAACCTCTAAAAAAGGAGCCCATGCTTCCCTTTCAGTAAAATGCCTATCTTGGATATGCAATGAAGATAAATTGAGATTAAAGATAAAAAAGGATATTGAAGGAAGTAAAGGGTTGTACAAATGCAAAGGAGTGTCACCATTATTGTTACTAATAACCATAATAACAAACCCATCAAAGCCCAATCCAACATCCATGTTGGGATGGTAAGAATGGCAAAATAAGAGAATACCACCAGCCAGGGTGATGTGCCCTAAGACCACTACCATAGCTGGAAAGGCTTTGCAAAAACCCTTAAATATCCTCTGATGATATTATTGATTTGGTTATCATCTCAGATAGGGTCATATAACTATTTCTATGAATATAAGAGATAAATAGAGTGGCGCAAAGTTTCAGCTGGACCTACTTGGGACAATTATGATAATTAGCTTGATACTGGAGTGAGTGATGCTCCTTCATGTTCTGTTATCCTAAAGATGCAAGAAAAACTGTAACAAAAAAAACAGAAATACCAATACCCCACCTGCTAGAACTGCTTCAGTACAGCATGACTGAAGCCCACTGTTGTGGGCAAACCACTAGTATGAATGAAATGAATTGAAGGTTTGAATGCTTTAAAAAAATATATTCTGATACTACATCAATAAAATTGGAAACTGATCTTATCAGTTATAGGCCAAGATTTCATACTAATTTTTGTCAACAATATAAACACAAAAATGCACTGCAAAATAATTGCAAGAAATGTTTTCATTGGGGCAGCTAGGTGGTACAGTGGTTAGAGCTCTGACCTTGGCGTCAGGAGGACCTCAGTTCAAATCTGACCTCAGACACTTGACACTTACTAGCTGTGTGACCCTGGGCAAGTCACTTAACCCCAATTCCCTCACCAAAAAAAAGCAAAACAAAAAAAAAGAAAGAAACGTTTTCATTCCTAAAATCAGATTAGATGAGATACAAGTAGAAGTTGAAGAGCTGATTAGAGAGAGAAAAAGCTAAAGAACTTAATGCCTTTGAAAATCTATACTTCTATTCTGGAAACACTAATAAAAAAAATGAGGAAAAACGCCATTGTCTTAAATTATTTTGAAAGAAGGTGGGCATATTTAGATTAGAATTTCAAAAAATCCTTTTTAAGTTAAATGGCACAAATTCAGCTAATAGACAAACTACAGCAAAATAGAGTAGTTTTAAAAATAGCTATCTTCAATAACCATCATGAGCAAATGCATTTTCCAACAATATTTGACAGCAAGTGTAAACAAATTTCATCACTTGCACATGACGGTATATGCTACAGTTGTTGCCAAGGGAAGTATCATGGGAAGAAAGGTAGCTCTCTCTAGGAATAGTCTTAAGGACAGGTGTCAAATACTATCATGGCAGAACCATTTTTAGAAAAGTCTTAAAAGCTGTGGAAAGACATTGGAAAATGAAATCAATATTGTGTTATAGAAAACTTGAACACCATATCATCCAAATAAAGCCAACAAAGAAGAAATATTCAGAATAGAATTCAGAATGCAATTCTGAATACTTATGTATTCCAAAATTCCATTGGTATTTTGTATACCAAAAATTCTTGATACCTTTATAAACAATTAAAAGTGAAAGCCAAAAAGTGAAAATGATATATGGAGTCAAACAGAACAATGAACAAAATAACAATTAAGTGGCAATAAAAAACTACATTACAGAGACTTGGGAAGCAAATAAATTAGAAGAGAGAGAACCCCTAAAGAAGGAGGACATGGAAAATTTCTAGTCATGTATATAATCAAGAGGAGTGCAAAACAACAAAAGCTCAATTATGATAAAATGTGAAACAGAAAGCTTGCATAAAGTTATATAATAAATGACAGAATGTTTATATGGTGGGGGCGGTTACTAAAATGCTAGCTTTTCTGAAAAACTGGAAAATGGGGAATCCAGTAAAATCCTAATCATTGACTCAGATGCTTCACATTTATATGTGAACTATTAGCAAAGCATTTTACCCAGTTTCTCTCCGGTGTGAGCTTGTTCTCCCTTTATATAGGCATTATATGTGAAGACATTATATATTTATTACTGAAAGATAAGAACGTCAGAGACCCAATCAAATATAGGTAGTTACATTTTTATGTGAGGGCAGCTAGATGGCAAAGTGGATAGAGTGCCAGGACTCAAGTCAGGAAGAAAGTCTTCCTGAGTTAAAATCTCAGACATTTATTAGCTGTGTGACCCTAGGCAAGTCACTTAACCCTGTCTGCCTGTTTCCTCATCTGTAAAATTAGCTGGAGAAGGAAATGGCAAACCACACCATTATCTTTGCCAAGATAAACCCAAATGGCATCACAAAGAGTTGACAAGGACAACAACAAAATGTTTGTGTACTTTACACAAAGCATTCACAGCTTGTATCACTCAAATCTATGAACACTTTTTAAGAAGACAGCATATTGGATGAGGAACCAAAGGGTGTGCCAAAAAAAGTTTTAGGGGATGCAACTCTATCAGTTTGATCATTTGCTATTTAACAGGCCAACCAAAAGCACTCTAACAGTTATGCAATCTTTATTAATTATCAAAGTCTTTGACTAAGTTCCAAACTTATAGTTTAGTGTTGTGCTGCAAATATATAAAATAGACCCAAACAAAATTAGAACTAAATTAGAACTAAAGTATTTGATGTCCATGTGGAAAACACCAGCAGGATATCAAAAACAAATTATCTAAAATGTGGCATCTTCCAGGAAAACAATTTTAGCTCACTGTGGTTCTTTGTAGTCTCAAACCTATTATTTATTGTATCACTATGGAATACAACTGAGTCTTTTAAGTCAAAGAGGGAATCATGCCAAAATATCATATTAAATACTTGATATGCATAGAAAGCATCAAGGTAATAGCTCCACTGAAAAGCACATTAAACGAGCTACTTCATTGTATGAAAACTTTCTCCAATGATATTAAGATATGGTTTGGACTTAATAAATGTTAAATTGTTAATGAAAGTATAACTAGTAGATGTTGCTATGACGTAGATGGTTAGCAGGCTGTGTACTTACCCTGGCTCAGGCATGTGACCTTTCCTTT